AATAGTGTAGATGCAGGGTAGGGGAAAATCTGCTCACATCATGGCAGCCAGGAAGCAGATAGGGAAGGGAAGAGCCTGGGACAAGAACACCCCAGTGACCACCTCCAAGCAGGCCCCACCTCCTAGCAGCACATTCAGCCATGAACTCATCAGTGGATCTATTCACTGAGGAGTATGGCGCCTCGTCATTCAATCACCTTCCAAAAGTCCAAGCTGTGAACACACGAACATTTTGGGGGACATTGCAGATCTAAGCCACAATAGCAAGAATCTTGCCCTTAACTGTGTATACAATGATACAAATGCTTTCCCTCTATCTTTGCCATTTTAGAGGATTTTTCTGAGGAGGATTTATAGATAGCCAATAAGCACAAGAGACAATGTTAAACTCTGTCAGTCACAGGTAAATGCAAACTAAACTTACTCTAGAATATGACTACATGCATTCATCTGTTTTCTGGGGTTAATAATGAAGTATCTCAGACAGGGTAACTTTATGAGGAAAAGGGGTCTGTTTTGGCTCATGGTTCTGGAGGTACAAGGCATTGATGTGGTGACCTTCTAGCCAGCAGAGTCCTGATGGGGTCCAGGGTCAGGGAACACGTGTGTATGTGTCTGTCTGGCCACTCTCCCTCTTCTACAGCAGCCAGGTGAAGTTGTGGGCTTCACCCTGATGACTTTATCTGACCGTAAGCACTTCCCAAAGTCCCCACCTCTAAGCGCCATTGTCAGATTAAATTACCACCCTCTTGCTCCCTCACAGTGGGGATTAAACTTCCACACGTGAAGCTTCGGCGGACACTCCCACCACATTGAGGCCACATCACTGCACGTGTACCAGAATGACCACCCCAAAATAGTGACTGTGTTAAATTCTGGTGAGGATGTGGAGAAACTGGATCCCCTTTTCATCAGTAATGAGAACATGAAATGGGTATCACTCTGGAAAACAGGTTGCCAGTTTCTTAAGGACACAACTGCTGTACAACCCAGCAATCACGTCTGGGCTTTTATGTCCACACAAAAATCTCACAAGAAATTTTTACCGGTAATAGCCCAAACCTGGAAACAGCTCAGATGTCTTTCAATGAAAGAGGAAAGGTTCAACAAACGGGTGCACTTGGCCATGGGATAGTAGGCGGCAATATGACAGCATCAGCAAAACACCCACAACTTGCTGATGTTCCCAGGAATTATGCCAGGTGCACAAGATCAGCCCTCAAAGGCTCCATGCTGCTCGGTTCCATTTATGTTCTGATGAGTGAGTTTTGGGAATGGAGAGTAGGGGATGGGCTGCTGGCTTAGAGAAGGGGGGTGGTGGTGAAGGAAGGTGAGAGAGGCTACAGAAAGGTGACCCAGAGACCTCTGTGGGGTGGGGTGTCCTGTGTATTGATGCGGGTGGTTGATACGTGAACCTACACCCATGACAGCATTGTATAGAACTAAATGTGTGTGTGCCCACACACACTGTGAGCGAAGATAATATTAGGTAATGTTAGATGTTGGCTGTATCAATACCAGTATCTTAGGTGGGGTGTTGCATTGTAGTTTTGAGAAGAAACTGTAAAAGGAATGTGAGATCTCCCTCCCTCCCTCCTTCCTTCTTTCCTTCCTTTTATAGTACTGTGATTAAACCCAGAGCCTTTGTACTGAGCTACATCTCCAGCCCTTTTTATTTTTTATTTTGAGACAAAATCTCACTAAGTTGCCAAAACTGGGCTCAACTTGTGATACTCCTGACTCAGACTCCGAGAGTGCTGGGGTCACAGGTGTGTACCACCATACCTGGCTATCTCTGTTATTTCTTACAAAGCATCTGAATGTACAAAGCATCTCAGTAGAATCTGCACTTCAGACAATAAGTGACAAGCCCTGAGTGGTTTATCCAAATCCATAAGGATATTGGAAGAACTAAATTGTGCTTATAATGAAATCAGGATTTCTAAAATAAAAAACCAAACAGCAGCTGGCATTTGTTTAGCGCACAAGACACCCCAGGGCACCGGGCTAAGTGTTGCACACACACAGCCTCATTTCATCTGTTTCACACTTGTCTTTCCAAGATCTCCCCTCATTAGAGATGCTGTGCCTCAATTTCCTCAGCAGTGAAAGGGTGATAATAGCTGTCTGTGTGGTGGGTAGGAGGTGCTAAGTGGATCATAACATGTGATTCGCACTAGCCAGGTCCCGACATGCAGATGCTGCTTAAGTGGAGCTTGATATCAATTCAAGAAGGGCTCCCTCTCCCTAGGTTGTCACTTCTCTGTCTCTGAGTCTTTGAAGTAAGTGCATACAAACATGCTATAGGTAAAGTGGTTCCAGAACAGGAGAGAATGTGGTGAAAGACCAGCCTCGAGTGTGTGAGGGAGGTGAACTTATTTGTCTTCAAATTGCTGCAAATTAAGTGTCTGAATGAAGCCATGGAGTGTTAAGAATTCTGGCCAAGTTCATTCAGTAGTCATGGAATATCCTTAAAATGACTTTTAGAATAAGCTTCTAATTTTAAAATAGTTTTAGATTTATAGATGTCTCAGTCACTTTCCTGATTGCTGGGACACAATACCCAACACCCACAACTTAAAGGAGGGGAGCTTTATTTGGGCTCCTAGTTTGTGGGGTGTCAGTCCATGGTCCACTGTCCCCAAGGCAGGGTGGATGGCCTGGCACAGGGCATGGGGGAGGAGTGGTTGCTCATCTCAGGGCAGACAGGAAGTAGAGAGACAAAGGAGAAGCCAGGAAGGGAGATTTGACCTTCCGGGTCACACCTGGAGTGACCTGCCTCTTCCCACCAGGCCCCACCTCCTAATTCAAGTCAGCTGTAAGCCTGCATGATCCAATCATCTTCCAAAAGTCTTTCCTATGAGCACATGAGGCTCTTGGAGTACAGAAATGTTGTGAAGATGTTACAAAGAGGGCCCGTATGCTGTGGCCTTAGTTACCCTGTTGTTAGTATTTTAATACTGTGGGATATTTGTACCAGCAAATGGACCAACATGGATATGTTATTATTAACTAAAGTCCAAATAAATTCTGAAAGCCCATGGTTTATTGGGGGTCCCTTGCTTTTTTCATGATGCTCTTTTCCTGCCCCAGGATCCTGTCCAGGACCTCCCAGGACTTCCATTGTCCTGTCTTGCCAGGCTCCTCTGGGGTGGGACAGTTTCTTAGATCTTCTCAGAAGTTTCTCAGAACTTCGATAACAACAGAGAAGTATTGGATTAGCCATCTTTTCTGTCACTGGGACAAAATGCCTGAGAAGTCAACTTAGTGCAGGAAAGATTTTGTTTTTTGGGCTCATAGGTTGAGAGGTTTCACAGGTTTGTTGCTTCTGGCTTGGGTGAGGCAGAGTGTCCTGGCAGGGTGCATGTGACCGAGGAAACTTCATCTCGTGGTGGCCAGGAAGTAGAGAGAGCAAGCTCACTTTTCATAACAAATCCCCTACCCTCAAATGCGCTGATCTATGAGTCTATAAGCAGATCACGAACCAATCACCTCCTGAAAGTGGACATTCTGTGTTAGAGACCAAGCCTTTGACATGTGATTCTGGGGGACACTTAAGATGCAAGCAATGACATGCATTTGGATAATGGCCTTCAGCTGGTATTTGCTTGGAGTTCTTTAAATAGTTTGTCTGGAGGGAGATCACAGAGGAAATAGGTCTTTGTCATTATCTGCTATCAAAGTGTCTGCTGGCACCGTGACTTACCAGTGTCGGGAGTGACCTTGGTCCCCTGGCTGGGCAGTGCTTGCCAGTTTCTCCACTGTAAAGTTACTTCCCCCTTCCCTTTCCACCTCCCACTCTTCCGAAAGAGGTTTGGGAGGTGTCGGGTCCTGGAGTAACTTGGGCTGCCTGTGGAATCAGGTTGGGCCACCCTGCAGCTGGCTCTGCACATCTGGAAACTGGAGTTGGGGTCTGAGAGTTGGGGCCACTTTGTTTGACCCAACCCTGGGGCCCCAGGTTGCAGAAACTGTGCATCTCTGGAGAGGAGTGTGGGGTTGGCAGCCTTCAAGTCTCCCTCCTGCCTCCACCTGCAAGATGGTGAGCTGCATAGCCAGGCTGGAGACTGTGCTCAATGCGCGGGGAGTGTTGGGGTCCCTGGGGCCAGCTAACAGTGCCCCAGAGCCCCCGTCCTGCTGGCACAAGTACACTTGTGGGCCTCTGACTTGCCTTGGTCTGGAAGCCCCCACCTGGGCTCTGTGACTCCGCTGCCAGGGTCTGTTGTACCCCTGGCCCCTTTCCCTGTGACACTGATGTTTCTGTCAAGCTCAGTGTCCCTGCCTTGTGCCTCCCACAAATTCCACCTTTGATGCAGAGTCCTGTGGAGAACAGCTTTGGGTCCTGTTTACCTCTGCTTCCCCATTAGGCTTGGTGTTCAGCTGGGACTGAGCTCAAGGGCTTCACACCAAACGATATGCCCAGTGCTTTTAGTTTTTAAAATATGTAAACATCTGATCAGGGTCTTGCTAAGTTGCCCAGGCTGGGCTCAGACTCTCGATCCTCCTGTCTCAGGCTCCCAGAGTTCTGGGATTCCAGGTGTGCACCACCGCATCCTGCAGGAAATGCCCTTGAGGTGAATGAATGAAAAATCCATTCCCTGAGGTGGCGAGTGGGCGCGGCGTGTCTTGTCCAGGAAAATCCTCTGGCTGTGAAGGCCTGGGGGTTCCTGAGGTCTCGTCCCATCTCTGCCCCGCTCTGGCCTCCTTGCCTGTGAATCATGGAGGGCCACCCTCGCCTTTGCAGGTGCCCCAGGGACGGGCAGTGTTGAGTTGGCATCACCCGGTCCTTGGCCACTTATTCCAACCTCAGACAACAGCAGCGGGAAGCAAGCTCCTGCATGGTTGCGTGGGCGGAGGCTCTGGGAATCACCGGGCCTCAGGGCTCTGCAAACCCCCCTTCCCCATACTCCCGGGGCTGCTGCAGAAGCAGTGTCCTGCTTCTATTTTATCACAGGAATCTCAAGGCCTGGCTCAAACAGTGTCCTGCTTCTATTTTATCACAGGAATCTCAAGGTCTGGCTCGAACTGCTGGAGAGCAGAGGCCCTCCTGGAGTTGAGCATAGGAAACTGCTTTTAGCCGCAAGGAGGTCGCACGTGTTTCTGTTCCTCAGAGGTGCTGTACAGCCGTATCAGCAAGCTCCTGCAGCCCCACCCTAGGGAAGTTTCTGGGCTTGTCCCTCAGGAGATTTCTTGGGTGGCTCCTGCGTGCGTGCCTGGGGGTCACCCTGGTGGGTATAGAAGGGCAGATGGCTCCCCAGTGGCGTGGTCAGGCTGGATGGAGGAATCGCTGGCCAGCTCAGGTCCTCGTGGAGGACTGACATCCGGGTGCAGCAGTACAGTGGTGGGTGACTGCCGGTGGGCTTTCTGCTCCGTTGGTCCCTCCAAGTCAGCACTGCAAGGAAAGGAAAAGCTCTGCTTCAGAGAACTGATTTTCCTTGGATTTGTTGGAAGGATACAGACTGGGAAGGGACAGGGCTGGGGAGAGTGCATTTCAGAGGCACCAGTGAGGGACAGAAGTCAGGGCAGGGACCGGTGCAGGGATGAGCGTGAGGCGATGACCAAAGACTCCACGCTCTCATTTTCAGTTAGCACATGGAGAGCATGTGGACTTGTTCTTGGGGGTGTTTTTCCCAGTTCAGGTCAATAACTGTAGACTCAGAATGTGCTGCGGGCCCCGCATGGTGCTAAACATCAGGTACACGAAGGTGCCTGTCAGTGTTCTGGCCTGGCAAAGGGCTTCGAGTTCTAGTGGGCCTGAGCCTCACACGGGGTCCCTGCAGCTGCTGACTGCTGCGTGATGTAAGCATGTTTTGCAGATGCAGCCAGGCTCGGGAGAAGGAGTCTCAGAAATGTCGTGTGGTGTCCATGGTCGCTGTCCCAGGAGGAGCAGCGTGCGTCCTTCTACCCGGGACCTGGGCCTCTGCTTCCCAGCTGAGTCTATGAAGTCAGTGTTGTTATCCTGACAACAAAACCAGACAGAGACACCACAAGAAAAGAAGATTTCAGCCTAACATTCCACATGAATATAGAAACAAAAATCCTCAGAATACCAGCAAACCAATCCACGCATAGTGAAAGGATTATGTGATCAGGTGGGGGTTATTCCAGGAATTCCAGGTTGGTTTAATAATTCAGACTCAGTTGACACTGAATATTAATAAAGGAGGGGAAGCCTCACAATAGAGATGCAGAAAAAGCATCTCATGAAATGCAGCACCTTTTATGATGCAAACTTCTGACTAACCAGGAGTGAAGGGAACTCGCTCAATTCGATAAATGTCACTTAAGAAAAATCCATAGCTAATGTCACACTTAAAGGGGAAAGACCAAATATTTTCTCCCTAATGTCAGGACAAGGAAGGGATATCCACGCACACCATTTTCACTCAACATTGTAGTAGAAGTTGAAGTCAGTATGTTAAGAAAAAAAGGAAATAAAAAGCATTTAGTTGAAAAGGCAGTAATCTGTCATTGTTTACAGATGACATAGTCTCATGTGGGACCCACACTCACAAAGACACCCTCATAAGAACCAATGAAGGGCCGGAAATTTAGCTCAGTAGCACCGCGTCTGCCTCACAAGCGCAAGGTCCTGAGTTTGATCCCCGGTACCAAAGAGACCCAAAACATATCAAAACAAAAAACAATGAAGAAGCTCAGCAAGGTCGCATGATACAAGATCAATACATGAAACTGAATTGTATCATTAATACCAGTGATAAATGATCTAAAATGAAGTTGAAAAAACACTTTCATTTACAATATCATAAACATATTAAATACTTAGGACTGAAATAACATAGGAAAGTACATCATTGGGATGCATTATGATGAGAAATGAGGAGAGCTTTTGTGCCCATGGAGCAGAAGTTACAATATTATCAAGATTTGCTTATTCTCAAATAGATCTATATATTCAGTGCAAACTCAGGGCACATCTTGAGGCTTTTTGTAGAAACGAACAAGCAAATATCCAGAAAACCTAGTCTTGAAAGAGAACCAAGTTAGGGGGTTTAGACATTTCTTGATTTCAAAACCTACATGAATATAAATAATCAGGACAATGATACTTGTATAAGGATAGACATGTCAATCAATGGCACAGACAAAATGGCCCAGATAATCAATAGAACAGAATGAAATGGTAAATAAACCCTTGAATTTATGGTCAATTAATTTTCAACAGAAGTATCAAGGCAAGTCAAAGGAGAAAGGAATATGCAATAAATGACACTGAAGCAACTGGATATCAACATGCAAAAAGATACATTGAAACGTTTTACATCATGGACAAAAATTAACTCTAAGATGGATCACAGACTTAAATGTAAGAGGTAAGCCCATAAAATGTTTGAAATAGAGAACTTAAATTTGTCATGAAAAGCCTGATTCAGACAAGAAAATAATGGCTCAATTGGATTTCATCAAAATTAAAGCCCTTTTCATTTCAAAAGACCTAATTGAGTAAATTAACAGGAAATGAAACACTTCTGACTAACAGACAGTTTGAAGGAGCCCTGTACTGAAAGAAATTATTTTGTAAATCATGAATCTTAAAAAGATTTCTGTCCAGGATATTAAACAAACCCTCATAACTTAATGAAAATAGGAAACAGCTCAATTAAAAATGGGCAAAAGATTTGAATAGAAATTTCACGAAAGAAGATATAAAAATGGCCAAAGGCAGTTGAACAAATGCTACTAATCATTGGATAAATGCAAATTAAAGCCCCAATAAAAATATCACCTCACACCTGTTTGAGTGGCTGTCTTAGTCATAAATATCAATTTTAGGGCATAAATATGTACAATTATAATTTCCAATATATAAGAATAAATTAAAATTCTCATTGGAACAAAATACCCAATGCCTGCAACTTAAGGGAAGAGGCTTATTTTGGCTCGTGCTTCAGTTCATAGTCAGCTGACTCCAAGGTAGGACAGTGTGGCCAAGGGCCTGGCGGAGGAGAGCTGCTCATGGCATGGTGGGCAGGAAGCAGAAGGAGTGGAGCAAGGAAGGGAAAGGGAGATACTGTGTAACCTTCCGGGTCAGACCACATGACCCGCCTCTAACCACACCCACCTCCTAGCAGCAACTCTGCCATAAAGCCTCCATAACCCAGTCACTTTCCAAACAACACCCGTGATCCCATGGGGCTTTCAGGGTACATCTAGATATAAACCAGAGCAGTGACTATTGTCAAAAATACAAAAGAAAAAGAAAGTATTGGAGAAGATGTGGAGAGAAGGGAACCCTTCTGCATTGATGGTGGGAATGTAAATTAGCACAGCCATTGTAGAAAGCTATGGCAGTTCCTCAAGAAACTAAAAGTAGAACTACCATATGACCCAGTGATTCCAGGGACTGGGTAACCAGACAAAGGATTGGAAATCAGCATGTCGAAGAGCCATTGCAGAATTATTCATGAGAGCCAAATTGTGGGATCCATCTAGGTGTCCATGAGAGGATGGACCGATCAATGCAGAAAATGTGGTGTGTATATACACAAGCTTAAAAAGAAGGGTGTCCTGTCATTTGCAACAACATGGGTGGACCCGGAGCACATTATGCTGAGTGAAATAATCTAAGTGCAGAAAGACGAACACCGCATGTTCTCACTTCTGTGTGGGTTCTGCAACAACCAAACTCACAGCAGTAGAGTGTGGTTACCAGAGGCTTTGACAGAGGTTGGTTAGAGTAGAAGCTTCAGTTAGACAGGAAAAATGAATGAATGATAAGTATTAGAAGTGCTCACCATGTTAATTAGCTTGACTCCATCAGCCCGTCTTCTATGTCATAGCATCAATTTTATGGCATAAATATATGCAGTTATAATTTTCAATGTACAAGAATAAATTCAAACTGGGTATGGTGGCACATGCCTATAATCCCAGCATTCTGGGAGGCTGAGGCAGGAGGATCACAAGTTTGAGCCCAGCCTGGGCAATTTAGCAACTTAGCTAGATTCTGTCTAAAAATAAAAACATAAAAAAGTAATAGGAAGGATGGGGGTATAGTTCAAAGCAAAGATCCTGAGTTCAATCTGTAGTACTGGAAAAAAAAAAGAATAAACAAATAAATTGAAAGACATACAACCCAGGAAGGAGACAGTTGCAATATAAGCTCGTGTCAATGTATCTAAAGAATAATAACCCAATGAGAAACGTTTCAGTCACTCAGAAAAAAACCCCACAATAGGTTAAGGAAATAAACAGGCAGTATAAAGTAAAGCAATGCTTAATCATGAGTAAATAATCAAGAAAAAGCCACTTTTTAAGTCGATAGATGGGGTTAGATGTCCCTAGGTGGGCAGAATCTGGCCACACTGGGGAACTGCACAGATGCAACGACAGTGGACTCAGCACTGCTGGTGGGGATATAAAGTGCTGTGAGCCCTGGACAGCAGCATGTTGGCAGTGCAGATGGTGTGACCTGGCCATTGCCATAGGGGACGCCCTGGCTGGGAGGTTCCTGTGCACATGTGGCCACCCCCGGCAGAGGTGTCCCCCCCCCATCTGCAGCAGTGAAAACCTGTAAATAAGTTCACTGTCCATCAGTGGGAGAACAGCGTACTTTTAAATAATTGAATATTTACTTTAAGTGAATGAATATATTCTTTACTTTTCAGAGTTTGAAAAGATTGCTAGGAATAAAACAAGACAGAATGAAAAGTTACCTGGGGCTCTGAAGCTGTCAACCAGGAGATGAACACACCCACCCCCCACAGCTGGCCTTTGAGATGAGCAGCGGATCACCATGCTGCGATCAAGCCTGGCTGTGCCTCCCGCTGCTAACAGGAGCCCCCAGGCTGCCCCACTGGCGCTGCTGCAGGGCACCTGCAGGGATGCGAACGCTGCGTGTCCACACACAGCCCCGTGCATGTGTGCACACAGACATACTTGTGTGATTCTACACTCATGTGCATGCACACACAGGCACACAGCTTCGCTCACAGCCTCACACTGTGTGTACACACATGCACACAAAAAGCCTTAGGAACACACACACATGCACACACATGCACATCTGTACACACTCACGCACAGTCCTATGCACACTCATGCACACACATCCTGTGCCCACTGAACACAATAAGGTCGGAGGGGCACTCTTGGAATAGAGCCTCTTTTGAGAATGGATTAGGCTTCCTGATGGTAACTGGAAGAAACGTAGAGAGAGACCCTGACATCTCCCAGAATTCCCACATTCCCATCTCCCAGCATTCCCATTCCCTCAGACCTCCTCCCTCTTACCTGGCTGCCTTCACCATGGGAGAGATCAGCAGATGCAATGGAAAGTCCAGGGAGGGGAGCAATGCAAGAGCAGCACAGAACTTGAAAGATAAAGAGGATAGAACAAAGCAAAAGCTCTCTTTGTATAGATATCTTTATATCCAAAGAAACAAACAGTAGGGAATCAAGGAGTAAGTAGGATCGGAATATATGGTAGTGATGAGAAATACAAAGCCATAAGCATGTTAACCCTCCTTTGCTTTGCTGTTTCAATGACTGGGAATTTGTTTTAGGAAAATAACACCAAACCATGAAAACTCTGCATGCTTCATGACTAAGAAGACCGCATTAGCAATCAATTAAAATGGCAACACTAGAAGAACCATAAAGTGAATCTACTGCAGTGAGTCACAGCGGCAATTTAAAGACCAAGTTGCCGTTAACTAAGATGCAGATGACGCAGTCATGGAAAGTTGCATATGTGCTGTCTGCCCACATGTAACACGTGTGTCTGCCCTGGGATAACGGAAAGGTACCTGGGAAGCACGTGGCGAGATTGTCCGCAAAGTGTCTAAGACGAGATGGTTGTCATAGTCCTGATTATTCAATCAACTGTCCTTTAAGAGACTGAATTAATCTAGGTAACTTTTTTCTTTTTTAGACTAGCAGTAGGGCCCTCCAAAGTGAGTGGCCGCTGCAGAAGCTGCTCAGCCCCGGATCCTGGATGTCCAGAGTTGCATCAACAAGCTGTCTCGGGCTGGCTGCTCGTGGCGATTTCCCTCGTCCTGCTGGAGAGCAGCAGATGGTTTCCCATACTGTGTTATATTTATTAACATTCAGCCCAGACTTAATTGACAATACTAAACATTGGTTCTTTAAACATTCAGCTTCATTATTTGCAATGGTAATTTCAGTAAACAGTAGCTATTCCAAAGCTCTGTAGTGTGAAATTAAATTTGTTGGTTAATTAATTGGAAGAATGTAGCAACTTCAGACTGCTTAGAGATGGTGGCCTTGGTGTGGCATTGAAATCAGTGATCTGTAAAATTACTCACAGTATAGCAAAGTCAAGACAATGAGATAAATAAACTTATCAACTTTTAGACACTAGCAAGTGCTGAGTTCTTGGAATGATGCTATTACAGAATGAACACACTGCTGTACCCAGTAAAGGATGTTCTTGATTGATGCACATGTTTATTTTAATAACAAATTCTTGCTCACTTACTGCTTTGGGATCACTATACCCCCAGCTTTGTTTGCCTGGACAAGATTTATCTTACTAACATTGCTTTTGACAAAGTGTGATGTTGGAGTAATTTACCCAGTAATAATCCAAAGTGTGGTTATTCAGAGCTCTGAGCTTCAGTTAGTTACATCAGTATTTCCTATTAGCTCACTATAAGCTTCCATTTACAAATTATAACATAAAAAGTCCAGAGTAAGAAGTGATTGACTTAAAAAACCAATCACCACAGAATATTTGATCTCCTTTAGGGGCCCCAAAACATTATTGACCATGGTAATGAAATGCTATTTTTTTTCACCTATTGGTTGACGGAGATGAAAAGGATGGCTAACCAGTGACATACACCATCAGAGAAGTGGAAATTGATATATGTATGAAAGCAATTTGGTAGTTACATCACATCAAATATGTATCAAAAGCCTTTGCCACTACCTCCCTAGATATTCCATATCTGGAAATGTATTATTCAGGTGCAACTGTGGAAATGTTTGAAAGTGTATGAATGAAGGTTTTAATTATAGAGCTATTTATGATAATGAAATATTCCAAATGATGAATTTTTTATTGATTCTGGCCAACAGTATGGAACAGATTAAATAAATTACACGGTGCTCATTCAATAGGATAATTATGCAGCCATTGAAAATAAGGTGGCAGAAGCAGTAGGAGGAGATGGGAAATGTTTGCCATCCACTGTCAAGTTGTGGGTAAAGACCATGTGCAGAATGAACCCCTTTTTCTGGAAGGCCCATAGCAGTGGAAAGTAATAATTTTGTCTCCTGAGTGTGTGGCAGAGAGGCTGCAGGGCTCTTTATTAGTTTGTATATCAAAGACTTGCTTCTACCTGGGCCCTTCCTTATGTCTGATAATTAATTTGCTCCAGGGGGCGCTAATACATGGGCCAGAAAGATATCAAAACACAATGCTTATCATAAAACAGCAAACAACAACAATGCTAGCAAGGCTGGGGGGTTGGGAGGGGACTTCTACATTGTTGGTGGGAATGTAAACTGTTACAACCACTGTGGAAATCAGTATGGAGAGTCCTCAAAGAATGAAAACTAGGAATTCTATCTGTCCCAGATGTCCTCATTCTAGGACTCTTCTTGAAAGAGTTAAAGACATCATATTTCAGTGACCCATGCACACTCATGTTTATAGCAGCACAACTCACAACAGCTAAATCTTGGAGGCAGCCCACATGTCCATCAACACATGAATGGGTAAAGAAAATATGGTATTTCACACAATGGAGCACTATGCTGCCATAAAGAAAAACGAGTTATTTGTAGGAAAATGGATCCACCTGAAGACCATAATCTTAAGCGAAATAAATCAGATACAGAAAGTTAAATTTGACATAACTTCTCTTACATGAGAAGCACAAAATGTAAATAATTTAAAAATAAAATATAGGACAGACAATAGGAAACAGGGCAATATTGTAGTTCTTTTGCAAATGGAAAGAGGATCTAGTGATGGAGGGTAAGGGAAGGGGAATAAAAAAATCAAGATATGTTAAGTACATGTACCAATTCCCTTAGATGAATGTAAAAATTATATACTAAAAACATATACTAATAATTAAAAAAACCACAACACACAAGCTGGGAATGGGTGGTGGAATATGACCATAAATAACTGTAATCCCAACTGTTCCAGAGGCTGAGTCAGGAGGATCACAAGTTTGAGACCAGTCTGCACAACTTAGCAAGACCCAAATGGCAAGACCCAGGTCTCAAAATATTTTTTTTTTGTTACTGGGGATCGAACTCAGGTCTTTGCGCTTGCCTAGCAGGCGCGGAAACCACTGAGCTACATCCCCGGCTCATCAAAATATTTTTTACAAAGGGCTGGGGTTGTAGCTCCGTGGTAGAATGCTTGTTTAGCATCTGGACTTCACCCTCATTACTGAAAAAATGTAAATACCACACTAGAAAAGATGTCAGAGGAAATGGAGGCTCCTAAGTGGTGGCTTTTTTCCAAACACGGAACCTCAAGAGAACATAGCTCGGGGGGTGGGGGGTGGGGTGGGGGGTGGGGTCCTACCAGCCGCTGTTCTTGGTGCTGACCCGAATTCTTCTTGGTTGGGTGGTTCCTACACATCATGGTGACTTTTATTGGCTGTCACAACTTTGACCTCGGTGACTGACACAGAACAAAATGCAGACTTTTAGATAGCAGGAGGGAAACATCTGAGAGTCCTTGAATGCAGCTGCCCCACGCTAGAGAACCCTGGCCATAGGTACCGCTGTGTGTGTGGCAGAGGGAAGGCCGGCCCTCGAAGTGGGCAGGAGCGAGAGTCCTGTGACTGTTTCCCACGACAGAACTGGATTCGTAGACGCAGTCACTGGGGTGACGCAGAGGGATGGGCAGAGGCGGGCTCTGTTCCAGTGATCCAGGACATTGAGGCAGCCATGACAGCACAACTAAAGACACTCAGGAGAGAGGACTCCAGAGCTGCTGCAGAAAACGGCAAGGATGGTGGGAGGAGTGAGTTCGAAGTGAAGGGGAGGATTTTGAAGAGATTAATGGAAATGTGTCTTTTACTGTGAAACATTTTTAAACATTTAAATATTCACAGTATATTTTTGATCATACCTTGTGTAATATTGAGTAAAACACTAAAAAGAGAAATGTGTATAATTTGGCCCCATTTTTATAAAGTTCAGAAGTGAACAAAACCAAACTATATTGCTTGAGAATGGATATATAGTTGGTAAAAGTATAAAAAGAAACAAAAATATACTTCTCGTAAAAGCCAGGATAGTGATTTGTTCCCAGAAGGAAGTGATTGCTGCTGTTTTATTTTTTATCAGTTAATGCTTAATTTGGCTCACGAACTTAATCCTTTTCAAGATTCTGCCAGTTGACTGAGCCCAGTGATGTAGTGTAGCTGCCTATGCAGCATGGAAGCCCTGAGGTGAGCACCGTGCTGGGCAGGGCAGGGGCTGGCACGGCCCACGTGGTCAGGTCAGCATGTGTGTCCTGGAACCCTGGCTGCAGTGTGGGTCAGATGAACAGGGTGGAAATGAGCTCGGCTTTGGCACTGTCACTGTGAGTCCTGCACAGAGCCAACCCCTCCAGAACCGAGGTTGATGGTGACACCCTTGGAGCCTTCCACACCCCTGGGGACAGCGATGATATCCAAAAAGCTCTCATATCCAGGGGATGTTTTTAGACAGTGAGCTTTGAATGTCAAGACAACCATGAGAATGCTGCCTGTAGTCCACGCCATCTAAAAGGCCAGTGCTTCCTTGAGCCCTAGAGAAAGTGCACATCTGTTGCATCAAAATGAAGATGGGACAGGGCTGGTGACTTCACAGACATTCCCAAAAGGGAGCCCCGAGCATCAAAGGGATTTCTAAGCCGAGACTTCCCCTTCTGCAAGTGCCCTTCTTGGAGTAAGCTGAGGCTCGGTGTGTTTGCTCTGAGGCTGTGCAGCAAGAGAGGCCGGGGGAACGCAGCCCGCACCTTCTCTGGTGTATCTGGAAGCTGAGCGGTCAGGTCGGGTGGCCTCTTCCGCTTTCACGCATCTGCTCTGGTCACTGCTTAAGGCCCACATCTCTCTGCAGATAACGGCCACCCAGCCCATGAAGCACTGGGTGGATTCTCACAGCTGCTGCAGCCTGGGCCTGGGCTGTGGTGAGCTGCCTGCCAGCTGTGCCTGTGCCGCCTGGCACGGAGCCGTGGGAGCAGCTGCCTCTGCCGGGGGAGCTCTCTGCCTCCTTGTGAAATTGATTGGTTTGAGATTCTGGCCGGCAGCTCTTCCTGATGCCAGGGCTTCTCATTAGTTGGAGAAAACAAATAGCTCTTTGGTCAGTGGACAGTGTTTGAGTGGCAGCTTGCTATCACGCGGAGGTCTCAGAGGCTGATTTAGCCTGGATGCTTGTGTGCTGCCAGTCACGCTGAGTGCCTCCCAGGCTGCTGGCCTTTGCTTGCAGCCATGTCCCTGGTACCTGCTTCTGCTCACAGGCACCTGCATCCTCCCCATTCCTCCTCCCTCGTGTGCCAGCTTGGCCGGGCCACAGGTCCACTCCTAGATGTTACTCTGATGGTGTTTTTGGATGAGAGTAATGTCTAAATCAAGACTTGGAGTAAAGCAGACAGCCTGCATGATGTGTGGGCCTCACCCAATCAGTTGAAGACTCCTCCCCTTTGTTTGTATCTTGTCCAACAGAGAGCAAGCTGACTCCCACTGGGATAGAATACCGCTGGAGCAGTATTTGTGCAGTTCCTATTGGCTGTTGGTCTCTGATGCCACTGATTTCCAGAGCTACTTGGGCCACTTTCTACCCCTCCACCCCATGAGGGTGTTCCTCAGATCTGTAACAGCTGGGTTCTCGGGGACTTTTGGCATTCCATGCTGGGATTTCCTGACTTCTCTTGCAGGATCTTTTTGTGTGCTGCTAGGGATCAAACCCAAGGCCCTGCTCATGCTCGGTGACGTTCAAAACTTTGCCTGCATTGGAGACAACTCTTTGTGTTGTAAATTCTGTGGACATGGTGTCACATAGAGTCTTCACGCTGTCTTAAAAATCCTCTGCGATTTACCTAGCCAACCTCCCACCTGCCCTGAAGTTCTGACAGCTGGAGATCTATTCTGCATTTCTACACTTTTTGCCTTTTCCACAATGTAATATAATTGGGATCACACAGTATGTACCTTTTTTTTTTCCTTTGGTTTGTTTCACTTAGCCACATCCATTGAAGATTCTTTAGGTCTTTTGCAAGGCTTGCTACCTCATTTAAATAAAAAACCCATTAAACAATATTCCATTGTAGTCACGTAACAGTTTATCTTTCACCTACTGAAGGGCATCAGGATTTGAAGATGAATGAAGCTGCTATGGACATTTGAATGCAGGTTTTTGTGCAGATGTGAGTTTTCAAATTAATTGGAAAAATTGTGAGGAGTTTGGTTGCTTGGTCACATGGCATGATTATGTATTTAACCTTATAAGAATCTGCCACACTGCTTCTAGGAGCTGGGCCACCCCCCACCCCCTGCAGTGATTAAGCCTTCCTTGTGTTCCACATCTTTACTAGCTTTTGGGATTGTTGGGTTTCTGGATTTTAACCCTTCAAAGAGGTTTATGCTATTATTTTGATTTTCACTTTCATCTGCCTAATGACAAATGATGTTAAGGTTCTTTGCTTTTCTTTTTTTGTTGTTGTTTGTTTTTTGGTACGGGGGACTGAACTCGGGTCCTTGCGCTTGCGAGGCAGGCGGTGGAACCATTGAGCTAAATCCCCGGCCCAAGGGTCTTTTCATATGCTTATTTTCCATATATATCTTACCTTTCCATATATACCTTACCATATATATATCTTACCACAGATGTTTTGGGCTAATTTTTAATTCAGTGTTGGCTTTCTCACTGTTGAGTTTTAAGAATTCTTTGTGTATTTTGGACACAAGTCCTTTGGCAGATATGTGATTTACAAATATTTCCTTCTAGGTTGTGGCTCCTTTT